TAAAGTTGGAATTTTTAAATAATGAATGTGGACAAGCTTAGCTGGTGATTCATCCTGATGTTCCGTGAGTGCTCGTCCTCACGTAGAGGGGAGTATGTCATGTGTGGGAACGGCAGGAGGTCTTAGTCCTTAGGGGTACTTTGGATGGAAGGGACTAACCTCGGGTGGCAGTTGATGATAAATTCCAGTTACTACACCACCTGGGTGCACGAACGTCGTAGCTACACAGAATTCATACAGTCCGGACAGTCAGTCTAGTATCAGGAATTGATTGAGTTAAAGAATTGAGTGAATTATATGTTGTGAATTATTCGATATGTTCGATGTGTTATGAAATGCATGTTATTACTTGAATTAAATTCAATAAGCTTACCCTTCGTTTTTCCTTGTGTTGTCTCGTTTTGTACGTCCGTCCTTGTCCTTGCAATGATCATCCGTGTGGATGTGAGCAAATGGAGAGGCGTTGCTTGAGGAGACGCTTGCGGAAGGTATTTTGGAGGAAGAAAATCTCGTCGATGTTGAAGTGAAGGCCGAACAGTAGTACGTTCGGTTATCTGTTTAGTTTAGTTAGATTAAGAGTGTTGTATTAGAGCGACCCCTTCCCTTTTTGCTTAATTTGACCGTTCAGTATTTCTATTTTGTAAACCGTTCGGTCAGGTATGCTCAGATTGTACATCTTTAATATTTGTATAGTTATGTAAGGCCGTTCGGCCACGAACGTGCTTTATTTCTTTAATGTAAGAATGATTTGATATATTAATATATGTGAATATTCTATTTGTATGGTTTATGACTGTATTTATGGGATGTTACACTTGTCAATTGAAAATGGATTGAACTTTACAACTTAGTTTGACCTACTACTGGACTGTCGAGCTAACGGGTTAGTCCACCTATTTATTTTTTTGTTATCAAGATTCTAATATCATATGGAAAATGACTGCTTTTTTTACATGAATGAACTGATGACATGCTACTAGGTTGGTTTCGGGCTGAAACAAGCTTTTCTCTAGTCTGATTCAAATTTAACTGAGTTGTATTAGACCTCGACTAAGCTGTATCAAACCTTAGTCTAGTTGTATCAAGTCTCGACCCATCTGTATTAGATATTGACTGAGTTATATCAGACATCGGTCAAACTATTAGGTTGTGTTAATATGAAGTGTCTGGGACGGGTTCTAATTTTTTTAATAAAACTGGATTGGCGCGGGCTCCTAGATTGAAAATGTTGTCTCAATCTGTCTTTTTTGACCGAACTAGTAGGTTAGTCCGCCATATTTGGCTCCTTTTATCATCCCTACAAGAAACTAAAATTAAAATAAATTTTAAATTAAAATAAAAATTATGAACTTTAATAAATAAAAAAATCATAATTCAAAATAATAATATATCAGAATAAATTGTTTTATAAAATATAATTTTTAATTCAAATTATTTTAATTTAATTTATTCTTTTTATTATTATATTATTTTTATTATTTATTGTATTATAAATAGAAAGTATAAAAACTTTACATACAAATAATCAATTGTATTAATTATATCACTGATTATCATTAATAATATATATGTACAGTGAAAATTTGAAAAGAAAAATTTGTCTCATTTTTTTATGTTTTCTTACTCTTGTTTCAAAATTTTCACATCATTCAATGCTATCCATGTTTATGTGGTTAGAAACAAACCGAGCTTAGTCCCTGTTTTTTTTTTTTCCTTTTGTTTGAATTTTTGACTGGCGTTAATACGTTATCTTTTATTAGTATGATTTTTTCCGGTTCATTCCTAAAGTAATTAAAATATAAATATATAAATTATTGAAGACCATGTTTGAAGCATGGGTACATGTTTGAAGACCATAAAATAACACTCTATCTCTTGTTTGTAAGGTAATAAAGGCATGGTGACAATCTTAGACTTGTTTGACACCTTTGAGAATCTGTAAGCTACATATGGATATGTATATTTTTGTTTTTTATGTCTTTGGGTAAGCAATGAATTATGTGCAGGTATGTATATGTATTACTCACTCTCAATAACTTTTTTGTTTTGTAATGGTTTATGCTTTTAGATGCTTTGCATCTCTTGTATAAACAACTACCATATGTTGATCATCTAAAGAAACGATATTGTCTAATGTTTCCTGTTTTGAAGTTCAACAAACAACATCGAACAAAATAAGCATTTATCAATACAAATATCTATTAAATAAAGTTTTACAAAAATAGTGTTTTCTAGCATATATCGTTTAACATACAATGTTTAACAAACAACATCTAACAAAAGGAAACATCTAAGTGTACGCTTAACAAAATAGTGAAGCTTAAAAATTTTATATCTAAACAGTATTGAACAAATAAGCGTTTAAAAATAAGAATCATCTAAGAAAAGTTCGCTAAACGATGTAATAAAACTTACAAAAAGCTTTATAAAATAAGCATTTAACGTGTTATATCGTCTAAAGATCATATATTAAACGCTTTACTTCCTAAACGATGTTTCTATCAATGAGTTGACACTTGTCAAAATGTTTTAAACACAATAATATACCTAAATGATTACTAACGTTTAAAACATTGATTACATGTATAAAAAGTACCTCTTTGTTTGTATCTTTGTTCTCTTTATCTGTGTAGATCATGAAAGTACAAGACCTTTACTCAAATTTGTGCATTTTAAGATCGATAATGACGTTAAAAGATAGAAAGACATTTCAGGAATGTTTCCTTAAAGCTTCAAGCTCTATAGAATCATACAGGTTACTTTTGTCAAAGTTCTGATAAAGCACAATAACTTTGCAACATAGACCTGAGTCTGACTACCTACCTAAAATGCTATGAAGCCCACATGGAAGTCAAATCTCACTCTAACGGATCTTTTCTCGAAGAAGGCTATTATAGATGATTGCAAGAAGGGAAGATGAGAATAATATATATGC